GGGTCCCCGCCGAGAGCTGCGACCCGCCCCGCCCCCGAGCGGGTCCCCCGCTCCGCCTGCCGCGTGCCCGCGGAGCCCCGGCGCAGCGCGGACCCGAGCCGGGCCGAAGCCTGGGGAAGCGGGGAGATCGTGTGTCGCCGGTGCCTCGAGAAGCCGAGGACAGGGCCGGGCGTCCCTGCTGGCGCAGCCCCCAGGGCGTTCTGGAAGACAGGAGGACAGACCCGCTCGAACCCCGCGGATGCCTGAGGGAGCGCCGGGCTTTGGGGCTCACAGCCGTGCGGGGGCCCCACCGGGACGTCCAGGAGGGCTTCCCGGTGGCGGTGCGGGGAGCTGCGTCCTCACCGCGCCGGGTTCAGCTCGGGCTCTCAAGGAAAGTGTGAGCCGGGGCCGCCTCCCCAGCCTTGTCTCTGACGCTCCCAGCGCTGCCGCTTCGTTTTTTTTTTTTTTTCTTTCGGAGATCCCAGGTCACATCAGTCAAACCTATTACACCCATCTCTCGTTTTCTTTTCCCCTGTGAAAACCTTGAAAAGATTTCAAAGATAGACCATTGCTATTTTATTTTGAAATTAATTTACTCTAACTCATAATTTACGATCGGGTTTATTTTCTCTGCAATCACCGTGTATATAGGAAGTGCTGGAGACGTGAGAGGCTCTAAATCACATGTTGTTTTCATAAGTAAGGAAATTTTATGGTCACTGCCACGTTACTTGTGTCTTTTTTTCCATCCGACTGTGAGTCTGTGGGGCGGAGACTGTGCCTGTCCAGCTCGGTGTCTCATTGTCGCAAATATCTAGCGCCACTGCCAGTCCACAGAACGTGCCTGGTAAATGCTGGGTGAATATGTGTATTGCAATAATATACAAGTCATTTTAGGAGAAGAGACAGCATTAAATTACACTGAAAGAGAAGGTTCTTCTCTTTTCAATTTGCTTTCAAGCCTTTGGAATACATCAGAGGGGAAAGTCTCCACTCCATGGTGACATTTCTAATGCCTGTAAATCTCTCTCTCTTCCCTATCTCTCTAATAGCAGTTAATAACTTTTATGTTCCTTCTTTTTTTTT